GACCTAATAAAGTTCAACACACTGTATGAGCTCAGAGTTTGCCATATTTAGGAATGTTGACTTACAGCATTGGGATTAATCAAGATAAATTACAACAGTGATGAATCCACAGCTACTGTGTGATTAATCTCAATAGAAACTGGAAACTTAGTACAAGACATTGATAACTGAAACGCAAGCATTGCATATTTTCCCTGACTTCATCAGCTCAACCCTGCTCAAACCCCGGAGCTCAGACCTGAGGACATGTGGAGGAGGTTAGCCAGGTTACAGCAGCATCTGGACTAGAAAAGGCTAAACAACACCTTTGGGAAATGTGCAAGAGGGTTCATCAATCTGCTGATGAACATAAAAGTGAATCCATTAATTAATTATTGATGCAGAGGGTGGAGGTGATGCTGAACTGCCGTGGATGAACAAGACACAAGAGAAGGGATTTGGTCAATGTGAATTAAGTATGCATTCACATTATGCATACTTGATTGCATAATGTACAATTAAGTATGCATATATATATATATATATATATACACAGTATATGTATGGGTGGGTTAGTTACATTAGTAACACTGAATCTTCTCTCATTCACAAACTGTACCATGTGACACGGGCTGGTCCCTTTAAGGTATATTTTTTTTCAAGCATATATATGTATGAAGCAAACTCAAACACAGGAGTTAACAAATCATTTAACACAATTGTGCAAGTATACCCAAGCAACATGAAAGGAGGGTTAGGGTTAGGACATTAAAATGACTGGGTATAATATAGTTCACGCATTAAAAATGACTGGGTATAATATAGTTCACGGTGTTTCTACAATTTCCCAGACATTAAATATGGTAATTAGCTCATAGTTTCATACATTCATTGAAATGTCTGCATGGGAGATTGGAAAACTGCACACAGAGCAGCCCAGCGTCAATATAGTGGATTATAAAATTGATGTAAAAATAAATGGCTTCATGCCTGAGAGGTTGGAATCCAGCACCACAGTCTTATTGCCTTGCAAAATTGCGGCAAACATTAGTGGTTTTATAATTACAGTATAACTAAAATCATTTGTTATCCATGTGTAATGTAGAAAACTCCCACAAATATGAAGAAGATATTTGATTTGGTAGGAATCAGGACTAAAGCTGTGACCAGGTTGGATATTATGACAAACAGCATCTACAGTTAAATCGACATGGATTTTTAATTATCCAAAGGATATCCATTAATATAGTACAACGGTTTACTAAGCTTTCTTTATTATTCCTAGCTGGGCTACACTGCACTGTGTACTTTTTGAATATTGGATTCATATGTTTGAACCACAGGTTTGGTACAGCACTGAGGATGATCAATAAGTATGAACTTTGTCTTCGGCGAAAAAAAACTCATCTCTGTATAGAACAATATCTGGAATCTATACTCATGAGCTCTGACCCAATCTGAGGTCTACTGCGTGGGCCAAAACCCACTGACACTGTGGTTGAGTCACCTCCACCTCCAGTACTAGAGGTGTCAGATGCTGCTTGTTTAGCAGACAAGGTGACTTCAAGGTTGACCTGGCCCGAAGCCGAGGGTCGAGAGGCAGCTCAAGGTCTGGTGACAGGTCTGTCGATGATTGATTAATGATGCATTTATAGCGAGCTGCGCAAAAATTCTGTCTACAAAGAAAAGACAATAAATTATTTTAAATGGTTTTAAAAAAAAGTTATTTTTTTAGAACTGATTTTTGTTATTTTTACTTATTCACATTCACAGTCCTTTATCTTTTGTCTGATGGTAGTATGATGGTAGTCATCGTCCTCCACTGATTGACACAATGCAACACACCTCCTTATACATCAATTGAATCTTTTTTGGTACCTTATAAAAAGTTTGCGAGAAGAAAACAGTGCCTACTTGAAAACTTTACCCACTCAGCATCCACCCACTCAGAGGTTCATCTCAGGACTGAGTAGGTGTGTGTACACAGTCAGACTGTGGATGATTGACACCACAGCACTCTGTCTTCTTCACCAGTCATTTACACCTGTATATACTCCTCAAAAAAAGATAAGAAAGAAAACCTTTAAATGTTCACGATTTAAGAATCAGTGACATCTGATGAAGAAGGTTCAAATCCAAAAGTGACCGTCATATGGGTTAAAGAAAGAAAATCACTCCAAAACTTAACCTTGTGTCATCAGTGACATCACAGGGTCCCCACAGGCACAACAGCAAGAGTGAACAACCAGCTCACAGACACAGTTGGTCAGTTAATGGTATTAAACAGCCGCTGCAGGAAATGGTGGTTGTGCAAAGGGCAGTTCCTGATGAATGGGTTTAATGAAAGCACCACAGCAGGGCAGTGAAAGAGCAGCAAAAAGCTCAATCAGCGAACCCTGCTGCATGAAGGTAAATAAATGAACGGAAAGCTGGAGAAAACAAAGAGGAGTCCATAAAGCTGCACGATGTTGGGCAGCCAACAAGAAAGAAACAGATGTGTTTAATGTGATCCTATTTCTGTTACAGTATACACCACGCTCACAGTAAACACACCCACATTTCACCAGTGTCTCCAGCCCCACACTGCTGCTGTTTTATGAAATGGCTTCACCTATAGAGTGTAGTAGAGCGTGCACCAGAGATAGAACAAAGACGTCTCCAACACACCTTCCATTTGACAGCAAACATTTTCAACGGTAAATATTTACTGACCCCATTGTCTTAGTTGTTAATTAACCATGTTTTAAGCATGTATATTTTTTAAGTATACACACACAATAATCACACTTTTTTTCTCCATAGTTCAATAATTATATATATAATATATTTGAATTTCCTTGAAACAACATGAACAAAATGAATTCATTTTCTATAGCAAAAAATCCTGCAATCAAAGTGTGGTGCGTTTAAGCTTAATTATGAACTAAAAAGGAAGGAGGACACATTGCCATTGGCAGACATGAATTGAGAAAAATATTTTTTTAATGTTGCCCTGACCATAATATGAGGTATATGACACTGTCGTTCACATTATGAAACGTTAAAAAAGAAGCAATCATTTGGTGGAAAAAAAATACACAAGGCCGCTGGTAGAAAGGACCACTGCCTGTTTACACACCTAGTGCAGGAACACGTATGTAAGCACACACTCACACGTGCAGGAGTCCATGCTTAATGATCAAGTGCCACACCAATACCATCCAGGACCATAAAGTAAATTGAAGCCATTTATAAGCCTCCCTATCTCAGTGAGTAGCGGGATAATTAGGAGCTATAACATGGAAACAATGATCCTGGCTCCAGTGGAAACCGACGGCCTCCAGACACTGGGCAGGAGGAAATGAATGATGCTGTTCAACAGCTCCACATAGTCAAGAGCGCCCATGGGTGGAGTCCTGTAACCCCCCGATGACAGATTGGTTTTGTTATGAGGCATCATCAAGTTGCAGCCACACAGTGACATCATTAATCATCAGGTAAAGAGTGGTGAGTAATTAACGCACTAGAACATTCATCACTGAGTAATTAAGTGCAGTTTCTATGTTAATTGAATGGGGAAACACCATTGGCCACTGAGGGGATGCGATGCCTTTTGAACACAACCTGGTGACTAGAGAAAATGGAGACTTTTATCGAGCTGCCCTAGGGTTCTGGATGTAGGTCTATATGATGGTTAACATGGCATAAAAAGTATTAAAGTTTATTTGGGAAAACATTTTATTTTTTTAAAAGAGAACTGTTTTGCGACTATATGTAGACATGGTAAAATACCTCAACTCTGCAACAAATCTAAAAATAATATCACGCCATATGTCCCATGTGTAACAGCCGTTTCTATTGTTCTAAAAGTGACACACAGCCATGGCCGTGGCTGTGGGGTTTTTTTTTTTTCCAATTCCCTCAGCAGTGTTACACATAGCTAGCAAAGCACAAAACGCTGGAGGGAATCGACTCTCAACCATGTCATACACAAGTCGGCCTTTTCATGTATTCAGTCAAACTAACACAATTATTTTTTCAAGCAATGTTAAAAAACCGACAGATATGACTCAGCACATACTCAGCCTGAAACATCAAACTGTAGCCAAAATATAAAGATACATTTTAATTATCTCACTAAATTATCTAAAAACTTTATAAAAGACTTTATAAAAGACTCTTTTATAAAGGGGAATTTTGGAATTTTCAGTGCATCAACTGTAAGTCCACTTACACTAAAAAATGTAAATTTGTTGTGGAAACAGAAGATTATTTCTTTCTTTAATAAACCTCTGCGATTTAAACAATTCTGATTGGTGTGTAAATAGAAAATTCCGTAAGGTGTGTCTATGAAGATTCTCAGTCATCCAGGTCATGGTCAAGGTTGAAGAGGCAACTGGATGTGAAACTTTCTCAAAGATTACACCTGTCATTCAAGAGGCCTCTTCAGAACTATACGGTGTGAAAAACAAAGAACTATTTCATGAAGAAAATTCTTAACTTTTCTGGGGTTTGATGTACAATGTCCGATTGTGTTTTATGGGCTTAGGTATAAAAGACTAGAGAGGGTCGTTGTTGAAGAGGGAGTGGGAATAAAAGCACCTAGAACCAGGCACGAATAACTGAAACTATCCCTTTAGGAGACATCAAGTGCTCCTTCTATCTGTACCCTGGCTTATTGAGACCATATTTAAGAGAAATGCCTGTTTTTCATTTTGAAAATATATATACAGGAATAAATGCCAAGTATATATTTAATACCATTAACATTAATGAGCTCATTGTAACTGCATACACTCCCACTGACTGTGCCTCCCAAGAGTAAACAAAATTAAAGCTCAAACACGGCCGCACATTAATCATCCGCTCCCGCTCTGATGTAAACTAATGGCACTGGCTTCTTAATCATAATTGAATTGGCTTGAATTCACAAGATTTCTGACATGGCAATGTATCATGTTCTGGGAGCTCGGTTCCACTTTAGAGGTTCCCTCCGTTTCTCTCTCACTTCCACCCATACAGGACTAGAGAGCCCTCTTAAGCAGCTGCTTCTGACTCTGAATGCATTCAGAAACACTCACATATAGAAAAAAGAAAGAAACAAGAAGAACCAATGAAGGAATTCAGTCCTTTCAGTATTTTGGAGATATGATCGGTGTCATTTCTGAATGATCATCTGTTTGATAAGGATTCCATTTCAGAGAAGAGTTGCTGATAAAGACTGTGCTGCTGTTTGCATCCATTCAGACTGTGGTTTTCCTATTCCCTGTGGCATGGAGGATCTTAGAAATCAGACCCTCTTGTTGTGATGCAGATGAAAGCAGCTCACTTTCATCTGCATCACAACAGGCATCAAAAAGAGCTGCTGGTGTTCTTCCATACCAAACACACACACACACACACACACAAAGTGCATCCATTGCTTATCTCACACAATATCATCCATTCACAGCCACACACCCCTGTGTCTCCAGTGATGGTAATCACAGCAGCTTCTGTCCTGTGTAATGTTCTGCCCAGCTCGGAGTGATTGGTTTCCTTTTCATGTGGACAGCCCTGCTGCTATCTCTGCGCTGCTATCTCCGCGCTGCACACACAAGGAAAAATTCCCATTAGTGTTTATATATATTTATTTACATTCTCCCTTGTACACATTCTACTGCAGGAGACGTCTCTCAGGTGTTGATGTGCACGTGATCATTAAAGCTGCTGTGCTGCCACAGAGGCAGGCGGGTTTCACTCAGTTAGAGGCTGTGAAGCCTCAGTGTGTGTGTGTGTGTGTGTGTGTGTGTTCGGTGTGTGTGTGTTCAGCTATCAAGGATTAAGAATTAGGGATGGAAAAGCTTTTACTTTTGAACTTTTAATCAAAACACAACACACTCTCACAGCAAGGAACCAGGACTTCAAAGGCTTCCATTTAGCATTTAGCCAGTACAATTACTAGCACAATGAAGGACAAGTACAGCTCATTCGTAGAGGATATTTCAGTTCAGCTTGGAAAGACAGCCGGGAGGTAGAAGTTTATCCGTACAGGCCATAATTACAGTACTAACAGACCCACGGAGATCAAAGGGAGAATTACATGTACTATTGAATATGTGCATGGTTGCAATCAACGTAGTTGGGGTTTATAAAGGGTTAAAGTGTCCATTTCTACAGCAGTGTCAGAAACTACTAAAAATGAATGGATTTCACCATTAACTAGAAATAAGGGAGATTTCCCACTTTTCATCTATGATAGACAATCCACTTGGCAGACACGTCCGGCTCTAATCACACTTCACTACAATCACTAAGATCAATCTAGTCAGAAAGAAAACAAGAAACACCAAATGCTGACACACAAAGTAAAGGTGTTATCACGTCTCACTCTCATTTTTAATCATAACAACAGACATTCATTTCCTTTGAACGGTATCAACGGCAGACTAAAACCAGGTATACACTCACGGAAATCATTAGCAGACAGACTCTGACTCTATTGGATTTCCGGCTGAGGCACCGGGCACCCCTGGCATCCACCGGAAGAGACACATGGGGAGCAACCAGCAATCTGACCTTTCACACTCACACGCATGGTCTCCGGGCTTTTTGATGGCAACAGAGTCTCAGAGTTGACTGAAAACATAGGTCTTCAAAGCCAAAGGGTAAACATGTCACAAATGGCTCATGATCCCAGCGGGGGACTCGTCTGATTGCTTTCTTTTTCCTTCTCATATGAAAATGTCAACCAGCATGAAGAGAGCCATCCCACTGTGTTGGCTGATAATTAGAGGATCTGTTTTTCTCCTCCCCTCTACAGTATGTAATGGCAGCTCTTAGGGATCAGCAACTGGTGAAGGATGAAGACGCTCCAGATTGTTCCTTCGCGCTCTTTATGTTTTACCATATTTGGGCACTTCTTCCTGTAGTTTTTTTTCTGTATTTCACAGTTGTCAACAACAGCAACATCCCATGATTATTTCACGTCCAAGGATCAACGCCATCTGTTGATCCTGAGTCTTGTTGTTCATTGGTTTAAAACAGTAGTTTGTGTCAATAGCAGACAGACATCTCTTACAGTAGATATCTAAGCCTTTAATGCCTCTATGTTAAGTAACAGAGTTATTATTTACCTGCCATACATAAACCATAGAATAGAAATGACAACAGCTAAGAGACTGTTTGAAAATGATTTCTATATTTATCGTTTATTAAACTAAACTGTTTAGCGGGAGTGTAGCCTGGTGCAATAAGAATAGAAAAGCGCCAGCCTACGTGCGGTGCATCACACAATGGAATAGAATAGACTTTATTGTCATAACAGATACTCAAAAAAACAAAAACTAGGACTGGCACCTGGAGACGTGATTAGAAGAAGATTATAAATAATAAACTTTTTGCCATAAATAAGTAACAACATGAATCTAAATAGGGCTCTGTAGTTTTGTCTGTGCAAGAATAACACTGATGTTTCTACACCTGATTTGTATCTACGAAAAGAAAAGTGGCAAACAGTCAGTCACCTGTTCTCAAATCAGCAGTTTGACAGGATAGCACATTCCCTTGTGCTCACTACACACACACACACACACACACACACACACATCTGTGAGTCTGACAAGCCTTCAGAAGACAGATGATGTTTGAAAGAAGAGATTCAAACATTATATTTCAGCATTAAACTAATATTCTTGGCTGTGGGTCTGGAACTTCCAAAGGTCTTCTGTTACCACGACCCACTGAAGTAAAAAAAAAAAAAAAAAATGGAGCTGCTGTGGTTAAAATGTGAGGCCATAATTAACTTATATGCCTGAGGCAAGCCCGCAGTTGAAAAAGACAAGAGAAAACAATCACAGTTGTAATTATATTAAACGTACAGCAATGGGCAGGAGGAAATAACAAATGTGTTTAATATTCACATCAACTCCTCGTTCCCCAAAGGTTTACTGTAGCAGCGCAGGTGCAGCCCCAGCAGATTCAGTG